AAAAAATGAACGCGACTAATTATTTTAACGCGATTAACGCATGTGTATTTTTTTTCCTCGGCCGCCCCGTAGTTTCAGAGCGCATCGAGTTTAAAATACCATCTACAAGCTGATGCTGACAGCCCCGCTCCTGCCGCCCGCTTGTGGCAGACCACACTTCCACGCTCACCGGCATTGATATCAAGACACGAGTAGAACCAGGCTGAACTGAGAACCTGAGCTGTGACACGTCAAAATGTCCTCCGTAAAACGAGGTCTAAAAGATAGTAATTACAAAAATCAGTAAGCATTAAACTGCATTTCTTACCAAGAGGTATCAGGCAATACAAATGTACTATCAAGTGATCATGTGACCACAACTCACTCAATGATCAGATGCTAGAATCCCCCCAACAAGCTCTGTTCAAGCCCAGTGCGCAGACACTGTGAATGAAATGTATTTCCACTGCTTGTTTCTGTGATCTAATCTTTTCTGTGACTTATCAAAGCTCCTGACCTTAACCAGTACTTTGCAAATCAAAGCTTCCCCCTCAGGTAGGCTCTCATTTATCCACCTGTCAAACGTATACCTTGCCACTGATGCATTTTCTCATGGCCTCACTCTTGACAAAGTTGTCCTATTGAGACAAATATCGTATCAAAGCACAGTTCATTCAGCGACGAGCTACAACTGTTCCTCTTTGAAATGAAACGATTGTTCACTCACTGTAGCTCATGTCTGCCTGGAGATTTGATCAAACCTTTGAGAGGCAGCGGCACGTTATCATCCTCCAACAAAACAGAAAAAGCACCTACTTCTTTCTCTCAGGAGGTCAAGCTGAAGGTTGTTTTGTACCCTATAATAAGTATTTAATTAAACTGAAGGTTTGTTTGGGAAGTAAGGGGAAGCGTTGACAACAAAGCAGACATACAACTCTCCATTAACTAGCATTTAAAAATGAGTATGATATGTCCTCTTTAAGGAACAGGTTATCTTCCTCTAACAAAATAGAAAAAGCTCCATTCTACTTTCCTCAGGAGGTAAAGCTGAAGATGTTGAGATGATTTTTGCAACAATGAAATCCACAAATCAAAGGGTGGCATTGCTTTGTACCTCACTACGAAGTATTTGACTAAACTGATATCAAAGCCGGCAGGAAAAACCTGCATTAACTAGCATTTCCCTTTTTCTTAAAATCTCTCACCCGTCTGATTTGAACATCAAACAGCCAGCTGGTTTCTCAGTGTGTGGTGTGTCTGCAGGCCACCGATGTGTGTGACGCTCATGACGAGTGTGTGTGTGATGCTCATGACGAGTGTGTGTGTGTGTGTGCGCGATCCTGTGTTTCTCGCTGACTCTGGCTGCAGTGTTATTTGATTCCCTGCTGTGTTTGCTCTCAGTAGGTTTCATTATCAGATTCCCCCGCAGACTCTCTCTGCACGTCTTCCCTTCCCTCTCTCCTCTTTCTTTTTGAACCAACAAATACAAAGATCTCTTCTCCCATGTGGGGGACAAAGATTACCCCCCCTTGTCCACAGACAGGCGTGTGTGCATCTGAGCTAACAGAGATGTTTTATTCAGGTTTCCATGGCCAGCTGTGGGTAGTGTGTGTATTGAATGGGATTTCATGTAATGCCGCAGTGCACCTCTCATTTATTCAGAATGTTTTTTTGCATAAGTCTTGTGGGCAAAAATGTAAGACACAATGTTCCTGAATAAGATCATAATAGATAATATGCAAGGCACAGTGATGTTTCTTCCATAGAGTCTATTATCTTCTAATGTGTCAACCTTCAGAGTGCACGACTGATATGCACGGCTACTTAGCACAGGAAAAGGTTCATGTTTCAATTGTTACCACTCAAGTTTGTTGTAGAGTAATAGAGTAGAGTAGGGTACGGGACACACGTGCAATTCAAAGACATAATCCATAAGGCATCAAACACACAACTCCTGCAGGCCGTAAAGGTTTGTTCGCCTAATATTAAGAAAACCTTGAATTCACACCATGACTCCAGGATGCAGAAGTTGTTCATTCACATTGCTTACGGTAGATTACAAAGATTTCATGGCAAGTAAAGCTTGCACAATCCATCTTCTGCTGTTTCGAGCTGTCACAATATAAAGGATATGGCTTTTTTCTGTTCTGCTGGAAGCATTTACAACCACATTTTAGTAAAAGCAACTGGTTCTATTGAACATGCAAATAATAAGTGCATTTATGTCCGTTTGGTTTGAAAATGTTCAATAAATGTTTTTTCCTCTATAAAAACTTCTCATTATTACATAAATTCAAGCTAACCACAGCCACTTTTCTCCGTTTGTGTGGAAACGACATGCTTTAAAGGGGACCTATCGTGCAAAATGCACTTTTGTACGTCTTTTTATACATGAATATGTGTCCCCGGTGTGTCAGGGAACTCACCAAGTGTCAGAAAACACAACCCTCTCTCTTTTCCTCCTTACCCAAATCTCTAAAAGCGGGGCTGCAACGGATCTGATACAGATTTGAAAATTCTCTGACGTCAGGAACGAGGAGCTCCGCCTATATGGCCAACTCTCCACCTATCAGGGGAATGTGGGGTTGGGCCACCACCGGCCATTGCCGCTCGAAAGCGCTTGAGACGCTGTAGTACATATGCCAGGCCTGTACGTGGCGCTGTAGTCTGCCACAAAAGCAGAGAAGAAGACTTCCCGCACATGGTTGCCATGGTTGCCCTTCTGTTTATTCTCCGCTGTGGCTCTTTTTCTCCCTCCCCGAGGCAAGCGTTTGCGCCTCCTGCTGTAATTCAATGCAATCCCTCCCCGTCGAGGCAAGCACTGTCATTCTCTCAGGTTAGTCCACCATCAGATGACAAACACCCACCTCTCTGCCTCTTCCAAGGAACGAGGGGACCGTGCGGCAGAGTTTCAGTTCGATTTTTTTACGCCGGTCAACATGTCCGTTAAAGTTGAAATCTTCCGGACAAAATTAGAAAAGTGCCGGTCAAAGGTCTTCTTTGTTATTTATTGAAAACAAATGAATAATGACTATATAATCATGTAAAACACGGAGGACAGAGATCTCTTTTTGTCCCCCTCTTCTCCCCGCTGCAGCCTAGCAGCTGATCTCAAAGCACGCTCCCCTCTCCTGCAGGGGGGCGTGGTCAGCTGCAGCTCACAGAATCAGCCCCTGCAAAAACAGGGCTGGAAAAGAGCAAATAGAGCGAAATGAGGCATGGCTAAAATACAGAATCTGTTTGGTATTTTGAAAAAAATATATAGGTATGGCCCTACAATATATTGTTCAAATATAGCATGATAGGTCCACTTTAAACTGCCAGTTAGATTTCAGATAGGGCGCTAACCCTTTTAAATGAATTCCCACAACACAAAGCCTGTTTGAGTTTTTACTGCAAATGTGGTTCCCAGTGGAAATTCATTCTTACCCATCTGGTTTATTTCATTCTGATTTCCTACCATTTTATTTCATAGAATTTTAAGCTGTCCTCCTCTCTAGCTTTGAGATCACACACCTTAACGAGCTGCTCAATTCACACTAATGTGAAAATCTGAAGAAGGCCTCTTTACAATGAACAATATTTAATATTTCTAAAAGTAAGAATCAGATTTAAAAGTTTTTAACATGAATAATGTCAGAAAGATGTGTAACATTCTAAAGTTGGAATGAGGTTTCTGAGTGAAAGTATGAAGGAGCCGTTAGCAGTTAAAGAAGGAGCAGTTAGCAGTTAAAGTCGCATGAAGATTTTTCAAGTCTGAAGAGTTTCTCCATTGACTTCCAGTTAAAAATGTGATGAATTATGGGATGTATATCTGGAATTATGAATGTCGATTCCCGACCGAGCTGAACGTTTTGATGTTCGAACGGAGTTTCTGCAATGTTCAATGTGGGAAGAAGCAGCCAAAATAACCTGGCGGAATAATAAATAATGTTGTGCATAGCATAACAGATAGTGGGAATGCTGTGTCAGCATTCCCACTAAATAAATACATGTGGAAATAAATACAGGAATAAATAAACACTAGAAAATAAAAATAAATGTTTAAATAAAAAAATATAAGTTGAGAATAAAACAGAACACACATATCTTTAATGTATTTACATTTATTTTTTACTAACATTAATATATTTATTAATTTCTGTGTCTGTGTCTGTGCGTGTTTTACACGTTTACACATGTTGTTCTGCTTCGTAGCCTTGTTTCTGTGGATACGACAACAGAGTACATTTTGTTTTACTGGAGACCGGGCTGGCCAGCCTCAGATGCCACTCTACCTCCGACGGACGTGCAAAGAAATTGTGCAAAAATAATAAATATATATATTAAAATAATGCATATAAAAAAACATTATAATAAATAAAATAAATAAAATAAATAAAATAAATAAAATAAATAAAATAAATAAAATAAATAAAATAAATAAAATAAATAAAATAAATAAAATAAATAAAATAAATAAAATAAATAAAATAAATAAAATAAATAAAATAAATAAAATAAATAAAATAAATAAAATAAATACAATAAATAAAATAAATAAATAAAATAAATACAATAAATTAAATAAATAAATTAAATTAAATAAATAAATAGTGCAGTGCCTTAATGTTTTTCTCTGAAACGTTGACTAACAAGTCCAAAGTGCACAGATTGACACTAAACCAGAGTTCTTGTTTATTACATTTCTATGTGCACGCTATTTTTCAGAACATGTACAAGTTTTACTTTTAAAAAGTGGTGGGGACACAATTGGCCATTTAAAAAAGCGCAAAAGAAGCCTATTCTATGATTATGTCACCCGCATCTGTCATGCAGCTGTTTGTTGGTGTTTTATTGTAACTGGTGAAAGACCATTTGCACCTGAGCGCACGCTTGTGTGCGAGCGCGCATTTCAGTTTGGCTCCAGCCAACCACAGAGCTGCAAAAGCTGAGAAAACAGACTACACTGACCCCCCCCCCCCCCCCCCCCCCCCCCCCCCCCCCTCTCTCCCTCGTCCTTCATTCGGGTTTTGGGAGATCTCTCTTGGAGCTGTAGAGGAGAGGTTGACCGTCTCTCTCCTCCAGCAGCTTTTCTGCAGCCTCCCGTCGCCTCATCATGGATTTTGGAACTAAAAAAGTCGCTGGGATTATCGCTCAGGTCGCCCTGCTCCTCTGCAGCTCGTCCGGGACACACGGAGCAGGTGAGCAGGCTGCGCGCTTTCTACTTTCCCCAGGGGAGAGGGAGCGAGTCCGGGCAGCGCGGACCCGGAGGGGAGGCTCTGAACTGGGGCTTCATGTCTCTGTCATCCCGCCTGGAGAAGTAGACTCATTGATATTTCGGCTGATTGTCTCGTAATGTTAATTTGGGTAAAGTACGTGGATTTGATTCTCTAGGTTCTGAGAAGGTGTGAGTCGCGGTTACGCGTCAGCACTCGGTTAAAAGAAGAAGGAGACGGAAAGTCTAATTTGAATAATGACTGCCTAATTTTCAGTCATTTACGTGAAAGTAGTGAGTTTTATCAGTGGACTGTGGACTTGCTTTGTGATTTAGGATTTTGGTGTCCCCCTTACTCACTCCTTCTTGCCGCATTTTAATTAGCTGTTCATTTACTCCCATGGTTACAATGATCATAAGCCATTCGCCATTTGTCACCCAAATGTGTCAGAAGCCAGTTCATCCAGTGTGTGGTGTGCGTAAAACATCAGTGTCGCTTTGTTTTCTGGTTCATTTGGTGCTCAGAGCAGCATGGTGGGAATCCTGGGACTGAGCACGGCTGTGCTCACACACTCCAGAGAGCTGCCACATTGTGAGGATGTGTGTAAGTGTGAGAGCAGCCTTTGCAGGTGGTTGGAGAGCTTAGAATAAGATTTAGAGGTCTGCTGTTTGAGTATCTGTGAAGGAAAACATGAATGAGAAAGGTCTTGTTTGCCCTGCCTGCGTTAAGCTATTAGTAAAAAGGAAGTTTATTCTGCTGTGAAACACAAATAATTCCAAACAAAGAGATGGAGAGAAACCCGAAAGGAGGATATGATGGAGATGAATCTCATGATGAGACCTGATACCTGCATGAGATTAAAGCAGATGGCTGTGAAACCCTTTTAAAACCTCGATGCTTATGTTCTCCTCTTTTACAACATATTGCCACCTGATCCTCTCTTTGATTCATCTGTTCTGTATTTGACTGAATATATGTTGTGTTTTGTTTTAGCTTTTCTGCTTTTTCTTAGCAAGAAAGCAATGTAAGAAACCCTTTCTGCCTTCCTTTGAGTTTAAATCTGCCTCGTACCCATCCATCTAGACCAGGGGTGTCAAACTCAATTTCATCGCGGGCCACATTCGCATAAAGGTTGCACTCAAAGGGCCGGTTGTAACTATATAAATATATAATATATATATATACAATAATGTATTATATTACATTATTGCCTCTGAATTGGATTATTATCGGATTTGATAATAACTTAGTAATTAACTACGTCTGAAAGAAGAAGTCCAGGGCAAATAATTGCATGTCTCATCAGTGGCATGTCACAAAACAAGATGCATTGTGGAACATGTAGTTTATGGGCAACCTGCTTCTGTAAAAGTGGCATGTAACCGTATAATAAACGTATTATATTCTTTGCAAGCTCTTGCGGGGCCACATAAAATGAAGTCGCGGGCCGGATTTGGCCCCCAGGCCTTGAGTTTGAGACCTCTGATCTAGACCTCTCTATGTCTCCATCATTATGAAAAGTCCTAAACTCAGTAGCGATCACTAAGGTGAGCTGGAAAGGCAGTCGGCTGTAAGACAGGAGAGGAGGAGAATGAATTAAAACAGATTCATATCCTTTCTCCCTGAAAGAAACATCCACAGCTTCACCAAAGGATCCACATCTCTTCACCTCTTCTCCTCCTGCTGCTTCTCTTCTTTTGTTGCTTCTCTGTTGGGGTCTGTTTCTGATCGGCTGTCCTCTCCTCCCTGACACATCTTTCTGCTGGTTCCTCTTTGCTTTCTGTGTTCTTTTCCTGCCAACAATTCCTCTTCCTCTTTCTGTTTCCATGCCTGCTGCCTCTTCCCCTCTCACCTCCACCTGGATCTCTGCCCTCCCGCTGAATCACAGAGCTGCTGCTGTGTCGCTGGCTCTTTCCTCCCTCACTCTTCCTCCCCCCCCTCCTGCATGTTTTCCTCCTGTTTCTTGGCTTCGTCTCCTCCCTTATCTCTCCTCCTGCTCTTTTCCTTTCTATCTTCTTGTGATTTCTGTCATCACCTCCTCCTGTGTAGGTGTCAGAGTTTGCGTTCACACATAAGTGGATTTGAAGACCCACAGCAATGCCAACACTTCCCTTTCCCCTCTTCTTTTATCCCTGTCTCGATGTAACGGCCTCTGAAACAGCATTTAGACCACAATGGGGCACTAAAGCGCTCCACTAAGAGTCAGACTGACATTGACATTGTTTGCAGCTTTTCAAAGCAGGTTTTACCACACACATTCTGCTGACCGTCCCCACCCCACGCCTCGTCACCATGGGTGCTCGGGCTTTTAGCTGCACTGCTCCCAGACTCTGGAACTCCCTCCCCCCGCACATCCGACAGTCAGACACAATCACCATATTCAAATCCCAATTAAAAACCCACCTGTTCAAATCTGCTCACTGTAGTGCTCCCCATTATATGTTTCATTTGTGTCCACTTGACTGTCTCCTCCATGATTTCCTGTTTGTGTTTTTATCATGTTCTGTTGCCTATTAGCGATTTTTAAATGTATTTATTTTTATTTTATTTTATTTTATTTTATTTTAACAAATTGTACGGTGTCCTTGGGGGTCATGAAAGGCGCCTAAAAATAAAATGTATTATTATTATTATTATATTCAGTGATTTATGTGCATGTCTTTTCCTGCAGTTTAGGTCATACAGAAACAGCCATTATATTAGAGGTGGGTAACACTGACTTGAATATTTAATTTAAGGCTGACAAGCTTTGTTTTCTATTGTTTCTGCATTAGTTGCATAATTTTTTCTATAATTCTTCCTGTTTGGTTTTGTTTTCTCTTTCTCCGCCATGTCCATTTGTGTTCCCTTTCTCTCTCTGCTCTGTCTATCTCTCTGTTAATCTCACCTGACCCAGCAGCGCACCCATCATGCACGGACCATAAGCCACAGCAGGGTAATAAGTTAAGACTGCAGATGTGGAGACATCCCAGCCGCAGGTTTTCAGACTGAGCTTCACATCTCGCTCCCCCCCTGCAGACAGCTCACTGTTCGTTATGGAGGTGGTGGTAAATGACAACAAAGTACAAATACATATTTTAAATGCCACAGATGGCGCTCCCATCACTTGTTAGCCGGAGGAGGGAATGCTGTGGTTTATGTGATGAGATTCAAGGAAGTCAGCGCGTGAAACAGATACCCACAGGACTGTAAAGTCACTGTGCGTTTAATCGCCTTCTGATATTAACAGCGGGATACTGTCACTGTCGGTTTTGAAATGGCTTCTTGCATAAAGATAGTGAAATGAAAGCAGAATGGTGCTCAGAGACCATTATGTAACTGAACGGTGCGATCGGTATAAACAGAAAGGAGGTGTTGCCTCTGAAGAGGAATGAAGGTTAGTTCAAGTGATTTTTCGGGCAACCTGAGGGCAGCAGAACTAGGGCTGCTCGATTATGGCAAAAATCATAATCTCGATAATTTGGGTCAATAATTGATATCACGATTATTAAAAACGATTATCCATTTACTTTGAAAACATCCATTTATTGAAAAAAGACATTTGAACAGTATGTTTTGAACAGTTGATTACCCTGAACTTTAAGTATAATTCAACTGAAAAACCAATCAAATAAAATAAAAAATCGTAAAAACAAATTCGTTGCAAGCCAAAATTGTAATTGCGATTAAAATACGATGAATTGAGCAGCCCTAGCAGAACAAGCTACAAGCATCAACCCCAAAATATGATTTGATTCGATTTGGAGTCATGTTTCTTGCCAGTAGTGACACTGATCCAAAACAGTCTGGACCCAAAAACCAAAACACTAAGTGTGCTTTCACACTTTAAGTTAATTAGGTTTGGACCTATTATATTATGCATTGTTGCATTTGAGTTCTGGTCTGTTCCTGGTCACACTTACTGTAGTTTCCACAAACAAACTAAGAGCAGTAGATGAAGTTAAGCAGACATGAGGTAAGTCATTGATTGGACAGTTTTGTCGATGCAGCCATTTTGTTTTGCTTGTGATGTGTATGTTATTGTTTGGGGTCACGCAAAGCTCATGAAAAATATATTCTTTATTAGGCATTATTAGTATGATTAAACTGAATCAAGCACATGTTATGCAGAATGACTGGTATCGGTACACAAGCCTTTTGTGCTGAAGGGAGACAGGAGCTGGATTTGAGGCTTGCTGTGGGATTGGTTTTATACACTTTTTAATGAACTTAATGAACTGAAAAAGTACATTGAGTCAGAAATAATAATACCCCCATGGCAGTGTGCCGCAAGGAAGCAGCTCAAGGTCGCTTGGAAAGGCCCTGTGTGGAAGTGGACCCCAGAGGATGTGCTATGTGGCTCCTTTCCTAAAGGCCCGGACACACCAAGCTGACACCAAAGAACTGACGGACCCGACTGTTGCGTCGCCTCACGTCTCTGCGTCTTGGCCATGTGTCGCACTGGAACACACCGCAAAGACTTCAGCCGACGGCCAAGAAGCACGTACGCACTGCGCATGCGTGAGTGGCAATAACTCTCCTTACCAGCAGGCGGCGGTAGTGTGTATTCGTCATTCAAAAGAGGCAACAACCGGAAGACAGACTGCGTGATAACCGAGAGAAGAAGAACAGACTGCGTGATATAAACAAACAACCAATAGCGTGTGGATTCCATTTTCTCTACAGCGAGAAGCTCACGGGGCTTTCCCGAACCTGTGTCGAGAGCTGGAGGTAAATGAAATCTCAGGTTTGCCTTCTTAATAGTTTGTTTACGTCCCTCACTTCCGTTTCGCTTCTCATGCAATGATTCGCTAAGCTGAACAGCCAATCAGAGTGATTTATTTTGCCGACTGCTTGATTAATTAATAGATTGTAGCCTGATTCAACATACATTAAGCTTTTGAAATCATGCTAAAATCACATATCTGCTATTATAAATCCCTTTGGTTTGTTCATTTTCTTTTACACTACAAACAAACAACTGATTAAAGTCTGCTTGGACCACC